TAGAACTCCTATTTAAATATTTTTACTAATCATGGATCATTATTCGAAATAATGATGGCCAATAACATATACTACGCCGATATTTCGGTCTATATACAAAAAAATTACCTTAAATGCCCTCATCTCTCCACACTATCATTACATCACCTACCATGAATAGATACAAAAAAGTGAGCTTTACTTTTGTCGGAACTAAATATTTATTATATCAAATTTCAATTATTTGATTACTTGACAGTAAAATCTGTTTGTAATGATTTGAAATTAGTTTAAATTTTTTAAGTTTCATTAACATTTTTTTTTGCCTTTTGCCATTTATTAATAAATATATAGAACCCAATTTTATTTTATATAGCCACTCCATCATGTGGTGGAAGGCTGGCATGATAAGTAGAATACTAAAATTATCCCTCACACAAGCAGCTATCCATGAAGAAACCATAAACACATTAAAAAAATAGCGAAGATTAACGGATACGCCCAGAACACTATCGACAGAATCATACAGAAGAAATACAGGCAATATCATTGCAGAAACATGACGACATTAACAGCAGAAAAACCAAAACAAAGAAAAGTCGCTGTACTGTACAACAACATCATCTCCAAAGGTCTTATGAAAAATCAATTAAAAAATATTCAATATCAACTTAGTTTACTCCAGTAAGCCATATCAACTCGAAAATCTACTACTATCCACAAAAGGTCCAATTGATTCCTTAGAAAAAGAAGAAGTATAAAAGATCAACTGCAGTTCCCGCAACAAAATATACATCGGACAAACAAAAACACCCTTATCAGCAAGACTTAAAGAACACCTTAAATAAGCAAGAGAAGCAAGGAAAAACCCTTATATAAAATCAGATTTCACCAGACATATAACAGAAAATCACATCGACAGAGATAACATCCAAATAATCAAAAACATAAGCTATAGCTGGAAATTAGAAACGGCAGAGAGCATCGGAATACACAAACATCAGGTCACACCTTTACTCAACGGCAATAAAGGCAACGTGTCATCATGGCTTTTAAAATACATTCTAAAAACAAGCCCAAACCCAACCGACGTAGCAATTCACCGAACTAATCGAGCCCTAAAAAACAAAAGAACAAAATCCAGACCCATCGCGTTACCATTTTCACCTATCACTCTCAAGCACAGTTGCCACTTGAAAATTTTTTCCTGTACCAAAATTGGTTTAAAAAGGTACCATTTCTGTAAAAAAAGGTCCAAAATTTTTTTGGACCTTTTTGTTTTTTCGTTCTGTGTTTTTCATAGTGTTATAAATGAACAAAATATAAAATAGTGTAAAGTTGCATTTATAAAAAAAATTAATTGGATATATCCACAATAAAGTTGGGTCGTCAAAAATGTACCATTTTTTGAACATGAGTACCAAACGAAAGAAAAAGTACCAATTTTGGTACTAAAGTACCATAAGTGGGAACCGTGCTCTCAAGGACAATAACAACAATAACTCTACTAATTCAAAATAAATATAAGATCTGTAATAAGTATAAATAGTTTATAATTTGCTTAGATGTTTTTAATATTAAGAATTCTTCTGATTAAGGCTCGAAATAAAGTAAGCGGAGCTCAAACGTAATTATTATTATTTAAAATAATATGGCCATCAAAAAAGGTGAGGAGGAGGTCTATTAAATTAAGTAAATAAATTAATATTAACAAATTTCTGTATCAGCTGAAATGCTTACGTTTGCGTAGGCATTACGTTAATGAATACGTAATTGATTATAGAGTTTCCCACAAAAACAAAATCTCATCAGCTGACTTTTGTTTACGTTGCATCAGCTTTAAGTTAAGCCTTAATTTAGACTTGAAAATAAAAAAACTTCAGTATTGAAAGATAAATACTTTGTCTCTGATTTGACATCTCGTTTGAGACTAAACGAATAATCTATTTTTTAACTACTTTCAGGTCTCTTAGTCTTACTTGGTCTCTGATTTGGCATCTCGTTTGAGACTAAAGAAATAATCTATTTTTTAACTACTTTCAGGTCTCTTAGTCTTACTTGGTCTCTGATTTGGCATCTCGTTTGAGACTAAACAAATAAGCTATTTTTTAACTACTTTCAGGCCTCTTGGTCTTACTTGGTCTCTGATTTGGCATCTCGTTTGAGACTAAAGAAATAATCTATTTTTTAACTACTTTCAGGTCTCTTAGTCTTGCTTGGTCTCTGATTTGGCATCTCGTTTGAGACTAAACAAATAATCTATTTTTTAACTACTTTCAGGTCTTTTGGTCTTACTTGGTCTCTGATTTAGCATCTCGTTTGAGACTAAACAAATAATCTATTTTTTAACTACTTTCAGTTTAATAAATAATAACAGAAATAATATTTTTTTACCGAGGAGAAAAAAAAAATCAAGCTCCCCCAGAAAAGTAAATATTTTAAAATTCAAAACCTGTGATTAACAACAATTAAAGCAAAATAAAATTACTAGACATTTGGCTCTATGAAATGAGATAAGTAATCTCAAAACTAATATTGCATTGGTGATAAGTCTGCAGTAAAAGTCTGCTTAAATATAACAAATAATACAATTAAAAATAAAACAGTATCATTATAATTTCCAAAATATAAAGATTCGCTAAACGGATTCTTTTGTATCTTCTAAGCAAAGCCAAAAACCGTGTATTCAAATGACGTCAATATGGAAGATTGCAAGTTAATACCAACTTGGTTGACCAATGCCTACTTCCAGAATGTGTTGCGAAATTACAAAAAAGATACATCTTTGACTGTCACAAAAATGGAATCAAGTGTAGCAACAGGGAAAGGGGAAAATTTCATAAGTGTGATTATACGTGTTATTGTGGAGTATAAATCAAATAATAAAGCCTCAAAAAGCGAACCCTTTATTGTGAAATCCAAGTTAGAACACGATGTCGCCGTAACACTAATATTGGAACCATATCAAGCTGAAGCAACGGAAATGCTGATGTATGATAAAATATTGCCAATACTTAATGAATTAATAAAATTGATTGATGAGCAAGAGAAACTTTTTCCAACAGCCATTTTCGTGGACTATGAACATAGGGCCATAATATTCGAAGACCTCGCAGAATTGGGTTATACTTCAGCAGCACGTTTGAATGGCATTGATGAGGAAGTAGCGAAATTGTGTCTGGAGAATATGGCTAAGATACATGCTACTGGTTTGGTATTCAATACCATGCATCCGGGTCTTTTACAACAGTTGCATCATGGTGTTTTTAATCGCCACACTAGAGGATTTGCAGCATATTTCGAAACTATTATGGAAGTTTGTGCAAACTTTGCTGGAGATTGTGTTGATTTAGGAATTTATTATAAGGAAAAACTATTAAAATTAAAAGATAATATGATGGAGTGTGGAGCTAGAGTTTTTGATGTGAAACCAGACTTCTTTAATACACTATGTCATGGTGATTTCTGGGCTAATAATTTAATGGTTACCTATACAGAAGAAGCAAATATATCAAAAATAAAAAATGTTTTGGCTTTGGATTTTCAATTTAGTGTTTGGGGTAGTCCAGCAGTGGATTTACATTTATTTTTTAACACATC